GACACCATGTATTCGTTTGCTTCATCTTGGGCGTTCACTCGAGTCTCTGTTCCTTCGACGGGGAGGCGAAATGCATCGGTTACGACAAAGGTTTCTGGCAGGATGTAGCCTTGCATTAAGCCCATGACTTCGAGCGATCCACCTGAGCGTGCGTGCATCACCATCTTCAGCAGCGCGACGGCTGAGATCCGTATCGATTTGAAATAGTGGGGGTCTTTAGCCCATGGGCGCTCCGCGCTAAGGGCTTTGTGTGTTTCTTCATCGTACTGGTAAAGGGCGTCTCGTTGGGGATCTATGAGGCTGATGGCATTTTCGAGCTCTGGAGTGGGAGAGAGGTTGTTGTTAGTAACGTATATTGTCTTTGAGAATATATCGGGGTAATGCTTAGTACGAACCCCAAGACTGCTGTGCAGCCTTCTGCATGGTGATGAATAGGTGGTAATTTTGGCAACAAAGGATGATGGGGCTGTGGGGTGAGAAGGAAGAAGGAATAGCAGTCTATAGAAAGATTTGCGGACACAGAGAAGTTAAAACAACTGGCTGACTTTGGTGACGTCTGATCTATCAGATCTGATCTACTTTAGGCAAGCAGTTGGAGTCCAGACGTGGAGCGGGCGGTGAGCTAAACCATGGCAGAACGGGGCGGTGAGGAGCTGAGTGGGCTGTTGCTGGAGTAACGGAACGCCATCAACAGGGGCCGGGAGGGAATCTCGATCGCGGCTGCATCTCGAGGTAGCGGCACTATTATTATTGTTCTATCCCATCGCATCACTGCTTCGATTGATTCCCCCTCTCTTCCCCTCTCCACCCTTGCATACGTCTGCAAGTGCTCAGCTATACATAAAGCCTGCGGGTAGCCCCTTGTTCTCGCAGATGACATCCGACCTCTGAGTCAATCGTTTGCTGTTGTTGCAGATTCACGCTGGTGGATTTTGGTGTCTCACAGCTGCAGTGCTGAAGGCGCATCGCCGCCAGAGACTACATGATCACGAAACCTTAAAGACGTGAAAATACTCTCGTTTTATTTCTTTTGTTAACATAAAGCGCCGGCATACACAATGGCCGTCGACACCAGCTACTTGACCACCCAGGTCAACAATATTGTCGCTCAGCTGCATGGAATCTATGATGAGATCGGCGTTCCAAGCCATGAGCGCGACTCTCGAGAGGCGGAGGTTGGCTTGCTTGACTCTTCCTTGTTTGTCAACTGATATTAACAAACAACTATAGCTTTTCAGTGCGCTATCCGATACTCTAAACAATCATCTCAAGCTTGTTGACAAGTGAGTTTTCCTGGCTTTTCAGCCTGATGGAAAGGGTTCTCGGATGTTAATGGAAGTAATAGTGAAAAAAATGAGATGACGGAGGAAGCGCGACAACTCATAATTGCAATCGAGCAAATGGAGGAGTCTTTAGAAGACGAGAAGGCCAATGGCGAGTATCAGCTGAATCGCGATGACTTGCGTATTACTTATCCCCTCAAACGCTGCCTTGCTTTCCTCCGCGAAAAGCATAATGCGCTCAGCAAATTACATCACGAGCGCTTTGAACAAGTCAAGAGTATGTTATGCTGCCGCTAATGATCGAATGGCTTGCTAACGACGTGCAGAACTCGTTGTGGCTCTCGAGTCATACTCATCTCACCTCGAAGCATCTTTTGTTACCATTGCTCTCCCACCTACAGCACCGGGATCTGCGTTATCACCCAGTTTTAATTTGTCTCGCCAATACGTGGATGATTTGAACGACGAGTTTTCAAGAGTTTACGAAGAATATGAGCGACGTTTCGAGTTTGTCAAGACCATTTGCGAAGAGATCATCAAGCTCTGGGCTGAGCTCGGAACGCCTCAGGCCCAAACCGATTCCAACATCGTCAAGCACTACAAAGAGTCCCCCGAACAGTTGGGACTTCACCAATCCGACCTGGCCCATTTGAAGGCAAAGCGAGAAAAGCTGCTGGAGGAGAAGAGAAGTCGAGAGCGGAAGATTTCAGAACTCAGAAATGCCGTGGAGGCACTCTGGGAGCGCTTTGGAGTTGAGGAGTGTGATAGAAAAGCGTTCCTTTCGGCGAACCGTGGCTGTGGTCTCCGTACAATCAACGAATTTGAAGAAGAACTGGGACGCCTCAACGAACTCAAAAAACAGAACCTACATCTATTTGTCGAAGATGCGCGATGCCGACTGCAAGAGCTCTGGGATAGTCTCTACTACTCAGAGGAAGAAATGCTTGACTTCACTCCTGCCTTTTCTGATGTTTACAGTGACGCTTTGTTAGAAGCGCATGAGGCTGAAATTACCCGGCTGGAGGCATTGAAGGAACAGCGTGCTTCAGTCTTGCAACTTGTAGAGAGGCACCGTAGCCTCCTGGCAGACAAAGAGGCTCTGGCTGTGTCAAGTCAAGATGCATCTCGTCTCATGGCGCGTGGAGCCAGTGGACAAAGACGTGATCCAGGAAAGCTCTTGAGAGAGGAGAAAATGAGAAAGAGGATTGCTAAGGAGCTCCCTAAGGTGGAAGCGGATCTGCGGAAAGAATTAGAGAACTTCGAGGACGAGTATGGGCGACCGTTCCTCGTTCACGGAGAAAGATATCTCGATGAGCTCACTCCAGTCGTCGCCAAACCTCCGCCTCGCTCTAAGACACCATCTGCCGGGCCAGGAAGTGTGCGGGGAGGATCTATGAGGCAACAGCCCCCTTCTCGCCCTGCCAGCGTGATGAGAGGACCTCTTCCCCCCCGGGCTGCTACGAAAACTCCTACTGGACATGGTTCAATGAAATACAACACCATTGGACCATCCCGAGCTCCATCTAGGGCCGGAGCAAAGTCTCCTTCGAAGATTCCCGCTCGCGTCCCCTTGAGCAACATGCCTCATGGGAGCAACTCCCCTGCGCGGAGTGGTACCCCAGGCCTTTATTCCTCTAACACAATGAACGGCAAAATTCCAACTCGTGCTCCGCCACCAAGGATGCGCGCATTGACTGGCGGAGAATCACGAGATGAGCGAAGCAGCTACTTGTTCGAGCCTCCACGAAGTGCTAGTGCACTGTCCAATACTTTTGTCCGGCCAGTCAGCCCGGAAGATGTCTATGACGATCGTAACCAACGCTCATTTATCAGCTCTTCTGCTTTCTCACAGCGATCTACCGGATTCTCTCAATCAACACAATCTTCAGCCTCGTCCTTGTCCTTGAATTCCATGGGATACCCGCGATCGAACCCTTATCTGCAGCATGCTCCCCCGCCGGCCCCGAGACAAGTGTCAAATGCGTCAACCATCAATACCGGCAACTCTGGGTCGGAGAACTGGGAGACATTCGACAGTGGGTCTGAGTCCGAAGCTGACGCTAGTGACGTTTACTATGCCAAGCTTCGGGCTGCCCATGGCAAGCGAATGGCCCTTGACGACTTGGCAGGAAAGAAGCCGAAAGGCATCCGAAGCGTTAGCCCAGACGAGCCAGCGGTAAACCCGAATGTCGTCCGTGTAGCGGGGAGTGATGCTGGATGGACAGATGATCTGGAGCCTTACTGAAAAAGAAGCAAAGTAGGGTTCCATTGCTCAACTAAATCGTTTTGGCTTTTCTTTTCTTCAAACCTCAGGCACTTCCGGAAACACGGACTTACGAGACCACTCGATGTTGACGATTCTATGATTGCTCTCGCAATGTTTAATTTTACCTTAACCAGGCTGGGGACGCTGTATAATGGTTGAGCTCTCTGGTGATTGGACGGGCTGGGCGATCCGAGTGAGGTTGCTCTGTCGCCGACGTTAATTTCTGTGTTAAAAATTTTGGGATTATACCCTGGTTATGTTTTCGCTTTTTCTCTTATGGTGATCTTTGCTCTTGAGCCCGCGAAGTCTATTGGCAACTGCAACAACGATGGGGATGACAACGAACGAAATGAGCCGATGCTTTTTCTATTACCATCTAACTGTTCAAAGAGACGGGCTACCTTCTTGTATTATGCTTGGTTTGTACTTTTGATAATTAACTCATTTTCTACCGAAAAAAGTAGACGTGGCTAGCCATTGACTGGACGAGTCCCTTTTACTACTTTTGCTTAATTCGCCATCACGTTTGGTTCTTCTGTTGTGCTCTTCTTCAATCTTGTTTGGTGAGGCCATCTCGTGGTTTTTTCCTATAGCTTTTGTTCTACGAGTCATACATTTTGTTTTCCGTTTGTTTTGATATCAGCGCAGCGCAATGGTTGGTTGGATCTCTTATGTTAATTAACAATACAATCTATTTTTTGAAATGATCTTGTTCGTAGTGTGCATGTAGCTCTCTCCAAGTAATCTTATATCTGCAGTTACAGGTAACCCCTCTCGCATTATCCTCTTTCTTTGTTCGTCCCTTGGGACTGGCTGCTCCCGTGCATAGGCAACCTTGCAGAGCAATAAGTACAAGATATATAGTGCATGAGAACTGGAAACCTTACACCCGCGAGAAAGCCTTGGTTATGATGGAAATATCTCGCTATTCATGTTCCTGTACTTCTAGTTTTAGTGGTAAGAGGTGGGGAGGACAAACAGGATGTTTGAAGAAAGCTACGGGGTCACGAGACAGCCATCCCTCATTCGCTGACAATAATTGACTGATTCCAACCCAACGTCGTCGTCGCCGATCATCAGCAGTGCTATGGTGTGCTGGTCCTGTCCCCTGCAGTTTCATAAGGTCAAAGATCTTCTCACAAACAAGGATTTTATAAAGGACACTAAATATCCCGAGTGCGATAGGCAATCTTGCCAATTGCCAGGATTGGAAGAATTGTCACCAGGATATCGAGGAAAATGAGGGCCGTCATTAGCGCGAAGTACACAAGGAACCTTTCATGCGCCCATATGCCGCAACATGGGAGAACGAGAAGGAAGTACTAGTCCCTACTAGTATTGCCCTTAAGGGCCGAATGTTCAATGGGCATCAGCCAGGCATTAAAAGTGCCTTTCAATTTATGGTAACTTTGGATAATATAATAATTTGAGTCCGCAATTTAACATGTAATGGGGTGATAGCTCAGTTGGGAGAGCGCACGACTGAAGTGTCAACTCAGTCACCACCTGGTAATCGTGAGGTCGCTGGTTCGATCCCGGCTCGCCCCATTTCTTTTTTTCGCTTTTTCCTTCCATCTCCAATTGCTCTGTACCCACCTTTATCTCTAATCTATGCTGATAATGAGGACCTTGGTACGGAGCCCTCCCTCTTCCAGTCCGAGTGCATCGGACCAAAGATCCTTACTGTCTACCTCTGAGTCTGTACATCCACCCATTGCTGTTTCAATGACGGAGTGAAGCTATAACGCAAACGAAAGTCTCCGCCGACGCTTTGACGCTAATCTGGCAGTTAGGGCACGGGAGATGAGAGTCCAATCATGCCACTCCCGCTAGACTGACCTAGGCTAAAAGGCCACTGGAGTGGGTCACTTACGATGCCCTCCCTTAATTTCGCAGCTTCAACGCTCATTTGCAACCTTCCAGATAAGCATCGTGATAGGATACGGGGGAATGAAGGACTCCATCCACCGCTACCAGTCCATAAGGGCTATGAGGACCAGGCTGTCCACGTTCCTCCCATGCGTTGTCCAATGGAGGGGCCGAGGGACCTCTTTGTGACAGTCTGGGCTCAAGCGCCCCGGCGCTTGATCAACGGGCACAGCATCGGCCTGAGACTGTCGTTGGTTTGTTTGAGAAGATCTCGTTTCGTCCAATCTACTGGAAATTAAATTGCGACACATAGCCAACCCGTGTCTGATTAGATCGATCCATAACTCTGCGACAATCTCCACTTGCGTCCAAACCCTCTTCATCCTTGAACCCTCCTTTTCCTTTTATCATGGACTGACTGGCTCTTTTCCTTCTTTCGTGTGCTGTTTCACCATTCAGGGCCTTCTGGAAGGCTGTCCGTTCCTTTTATTATTGTTATTATTACCTTCGTTTCCGATGCTGAGATAGAGTCTCATGTCAGCTTACCTTCACACACTATCACTCGTTTAGTTTCTTTATCTGAATTCAATTCTTTGTCTGGATCCATCAGCTCTCACTATCACTAAAATTCAGCATCGCTGAGCCGCAAAATCGCGCAAATGGCCAGAGGTCTCTTTCTGGGGAAACCCCGTGCCCCACGGGAAACAGACATTTCCAATCCCATCTTTAAGCATACAGACGCAGCACCACGAAATGACCTCAAGGCCTTGAAAAATGGTAGCACAACGCACCATCGGCCGATCAAGCAGGCCCATTACGACACCCAGCGCCCCCGGACATCAGTCGCATGTCAACAGGACAGCAAGGTAGAGGTACCCGGGCCTGGGTTCGATTTTCGCATAGCGGTGCCTGCAGCTGAAGCGATAAAATCGCCGACAAACAGCGAAAATGGCTCGGAAGAAAACATGATCGGGATCGCTCTAGGTAGTCCCCGCTTGGTGGATCCACAGAACACCTTCTCCCAGATGCAAGAGAAAGCGCTGGAATCTGCGCGCGAACGCCCCAAAGCAGCCCCGCAGATTCAGCGCAAGCCGAGCAAGTGGAGGAAAATCGGCGGCTTGTTCAAGGCGAAGAATGCTGTTGCGTCGGGTGCAAGTCAGCCTTTTTACCAGGTCCAGGTTCAGGGTAGTCAGGCGCCTCTTGCGCAGGGCTCTTCGCATTCCATCGACTATCAGACTCGCGAGGCGAAATCTAACCATGTCATGAATACAGAGGCATGGCCGTGTCTTGAGCCGGAGGTCAAGGCCGAAGAGAAGCAGCAAAATATCAGTGTCGCACAGGTGCAAGCTCAGGATGGACAACAGCCTGCGGAGTCGAAGTCGGGACCTCTACTGCAGGTCGATATCCCCAGTGTTGAGATGGAAAGATACAGCGTCATGTTCAGCGCTCTACTCAAGCAAAACGAACCTTCCCCGTTGAACAGACGCAGCAAAACCCTGGAAAATATGAGCGCTCCCAACGCTGAGGTAAAATATTCAACATCCCCTGCGATATACGTCACCTACCAAATACTAAACCCACACCAGGCATCACCGCCATCGCCAGATCTGCCCCCACCCCGACGAAGGGCCACCTCGCCTACACGCTCAAACTCCCCCAGACTCTCACTATTCCCAGCAACACACAAGAGCAAAGCTTCCAAGGTGCTAGGCACGCAATGCCTCCCACGAGGCCCCAGTCCCTTGCTCCGAAACCAAGTATCCAGAGCAGAGTCACCACAGGAAGACTTGCCCAATGAACAAGATCACATTCTCCTCATGGTTCGCAGCGACGCAAGAAGCTTCCATAAGCCCCAAGACTCAGTATCCTCATTCATCTCAAGCACAACCATCAACTCAGAAGACGAAAAATTCCTCCTGCAAAAGCTCAAGCCAGTCCAAACCTACGTCGACCCCAAAGGCGAGCCAGAATGGGAGATCATCAACAAGCGGAAACAATCCGCAGACGAAATAAAATCGCAGAAGTCAACCCCAGCGCTCTCGCTCAATACGCAAGAACTACAGCCCGAGCCAGCGAACAGTGAGTCGACGGCATCGTCTCCGATCCTCTCACCTCTTGCCGCCGTCCAACAAAGATTCTCTCCGTTATCTCCGTCGGATAGTAATAAATCTGCTGTCTCACCAGCAGAGACCATCCGCATGCCTCTCGCCAACGAAACCAAGACCGAAGAAGGCGACAAGACGACGGATGAACATGAACCCGCAGATCCCAGCCCGCAAGAGGAACCGGAGTCAGAAGCCGAACAGGAACACGACGAACAAGAACCAGAGCCGGCCGATCCCCTCCCGACCATCGAGATCTCCATCGCAAGATCTGTCTCCGTCTCAAAGAGAAAGCAAGTCTTGGTCCCCGTGGGACGGCGGCCAGACCGTCTCCCTCCCCGAGCTAGAACCCCCCAAATGGTGAATGGGCAGCATGGTCATCGACATGGCAATTCTCAGGATGCTCGTATTGAAAGTGTATGATGTACTTGGGTTTGATACTTGCTGCTTTTCTCTCTCTTGGAGATCCTGTCGCATCTGGCGCCGGAGTAGCGACTGATTTTGGCCTTCCCATTTTCACGACCTTTTTGTTCTATATCTCTCTGCCTTGGAAACTAGCATTGGGACTGATGGGGTTTGTTTTTCTTTTCTTTTCCTTTCCGGTTTACACTGGGCATATTCGTTGTGTCATTGACGGCGATTTGCGTTTCCATCCATTCCTTTGAACAGAACTTCACGTTCAGTCTTTCTTTTCTCACTTCATGACTTCTTCTTCTTCTTCTTTTTTTTTTTTTTTTGGCGGCGCCGAAAGCGAAAGCCGGATCTTCTTTTGCATTTCTTCTCATGAGAGCTTGGATTATCTTTAAAAGGACAGGAGTAGTGGTCGATGATTAGGTGTTCTACATTTTTCTCTTCGGTTAGGTTCATCCATTCCGTGCATTTTATATACTCCCATTTGTTCATGTATTTTGGCTTAGATCATCCAATTGAATTGTTTCAAAGACTTCTGTTTAAATCTCTATTTCTATGCATAGAAAACCATTCAACTCTTCTCTGGGTAATTGGCCGACTCTGCGACGACCTGTTTTTCAGGACCCATATCCACTTCCACGGTTGGTAGCGTCCATTCCATGCCAGGATACGAATCGCTGATGACCTTGACCTTGATGCCATTCTTAGCTGCCGTATCTGGGAATTTGACAGACGACCGGATTGTGAGAGGAGGTCCACCTCTATGATTGTTTTTCTCTCCGGGCTTGCTCGATCCGGCGTTATTGTTGCCGCGGTTGTTGCGTTGCTTCTCGACAGGGGGCCAGGAGATTCTCTTTAGAGCAAGTAGTTCTCCATCTTTACCGTCTGAGGCTGCGCTGCAGACGATCAAGAAGAAACCTTCTGTTTGTGGCTTTGGGAATCGAGGTGCGTAGATTCTGTATCCCGAGTCCATTGCGGGGTTGCGTCTGGTCAAGGATACACTAATACCAGTTGACGAGACCTTGGAGACTGATACCGACAGATTCGGCAGATAGGAGGCAGCTTTGGTAAATTGGGCGGCCTGGGAAGGAGGAAGCTGTAATTTCTTGGAGAGAGTTGACACAGCACCCGTAGGTAGAGATGAGAGCGCAGCGAGGGAACCTGGGAGGAAGGGTGCTTTGGCGCTAACACCAACGCCTGGAAGAATCGACAGTGGGATATCTTCAGGCCACCTAGCTGACTTAATGCATTGAAGCAGGGACATGAGCATTTGACAAGCATGCAGGTAGCCTAATTCGGCCATGACATCGATCGAAGCTTGCAGAATACGGATGCCCTGATCTAAAACAGAGGTCTGATCTCCGACATAATCGGAAATCGGAAGATCAATTCGCGACATGTAGGCTTGAAGCAATAAGAATGCTTTCACGTGGGGATCCCACATTGGTAGGTCTCCCATCGATTCAACAGATAGCGGTAGGTTCTGAGCCAACTCTGCGTTAATGAGATCTTCATTATGTCGAACAGGCAACTCGTCAAATTCTGTCGCGGAACACATCCAGCTCAAGACATCATGGAATGTAGGATTCGGCTTTGCATGTGCCATGAGATACCGAATTGTCTTGTGTGACAAATAGTAGTAGCTCATCACCTTGCCAAATGGTGTCGGGTCGACTTCACCTGTGGCGGAATCAAGCAAAACACATGATGACGTTGCTAATTCGCCGAGCGACTTATCGACCAGGTCAATCATGAAATCTTGGGCGATAGTCTGAGCGGCGATAGTATTGTGCTCCTCGGCCGAGATCTCCAAGCCATAGTACGAAGGGTTCTTATGCAGTCTCCGGAAGAAAAACGTCCACGTCAGATAATCCAGTGCATCCTGTTTTGTTGTAATTGTTCCTGCAGAAACTTCGGCTCCCAAGTGGTTATCGAGGACTTTGTGCAAAGTAGATTCTACTGGGAACCCAGTGTGTAAGAAATGCTTGTAAAAGGCTTTCTTTGAGTCTTGAGTGAAAATTCGAGCAATACCAGACGAGTCGAACTGCGGACGACCTGCACGACCCAGCATTTGCAGAACGTCAGTCAAGTCCATGTCCCTATAACCCTCAATCTTTGCATCGAAGAACTGGGTTCCTTTGACAACCACAAGGTGTGCTGGAAGGTTAACACCCCATGCCAGAGTACTAGTCGCGACAAGAATTTGTATCTTGTTGTTTGCGAAAAGCTCCTCGGCTAGCTGACGATCAGATTCCACCAAACCAGCATGGTGCAGACCGATGCCGAAGCTGAGCGCCTCACGCAAGGCATCGTCCTTGACTCGCGTGAGATTCAACTCTAAATCATCCTCCGACATACGAACAAATCGACGAGGATTATCTTCCATTCCGCAATAATTGATCAGATCCTTGGCAGTTAGACGAGTCTGCCTACGGGAAGCGACGAAAACAATCACGGGCTTTTCTGGAGAGTGGTTTTTGATAGCCAGAAAAGTTGGTCGGTTCATAGACTGCATGAGTGGACAGAATCCACGTTGCTCAGGGAAGCCATCAATGTAAATCTCGAGAGGCACAGGACGCACAGAGTGCCGGAAGTTGTATAGCCCTTCTTTCACACCCAGCCAATTCGCCAAATCTGTGGCATTTGCACAAGCAGTGGACATACCCATCAGCCGAACGGATCCCTTAGACTGTGAAGCAATGTAATTCATTCGAGATACAATGATCTCAAGAATAGGTCCTCGGTCACCGCCTAGCAAGTGGATTTCATCAATGATCACCAAGCTGACCTTGCGAACGTAATCTCTGGTCTGCCAACTACGAGAGATACCGTCCCATTTCTCAGGTGTTGTGATAATGATGTCTGCATCTCGAATGGTTCGCGTGTCCGGAGTATTATCACCAGTCAACTCGACCAACTTCAGGCCCATAGGCCCTGTGAGGCGCTTTTTCCAGTCGTGGACTCGCTCGCGGACGAGTGCTTTCATCGGTGCGATGTACACAACCTTCGACCCAGGCTTTTCCCTAAACGCCCACCACATAGCTAGTTCTGCAGCCACCGTCTTTCCACTTCCGGTAGGGGAGCCTAGGAGGACGTTGGCAGAAGTGTGATAGAGAAGGTGGAAAATCTGTGTTTGCATCGGGTTAAAGAACTGGAATCGCTGTCCATAGAGTTCCTCGAGAATGGGATTTTTGAGAGCAGAAATAGGCAGTGGTTGGAGATTAAGAAGATCTGTATAAACGCTCTCTGTGTCGGGACGAATAAGGTGTTGGAATGAGACTGGAGTTACCGTTTCCGCACCTAACCATCGATCTGATATCGCACGGACGTAAATTTGACTTGGTAATGGGTCCGAAAGTGGGATGGTAAAGTTGAGCTCGTGCTCGTCATGAAGTTTCTTTCGGCTCAGGATGAAATACTCATGGTGGTAGATCTCGGAGGTTTCCGAGTTCTCTACCCAGACCCAGTACGACTCTGAAGCTCCATGATGCCTGTCATTCCAAGTATACTCGGGATAGAGGCATAGGCGGATGCGCAGGACGTCGCGGTTCAGAGGTGCGATTTCAGCCTCCACGCTGAGGGTAGGGAAATTGTCTAATAATTTTGCTAGAGTCTTGCCCATTTTCTGGTTGTGAACCAGCTGTCCGATCTCTGCAACATCCATGTCTCTCATCGATTCTATAGAGGAACTGGGCAGCCTCTCATCCAGATTTCTGAGGACAGGCTGGGGAAGATCAAACTGATGGAATGGGTGATCGAAAGGCCAGATCTGCTTCTCAATGGACTTGCACATCGACAACAGAACTTGGCATTGGTAGCCCCAACGTCGGTTCAATGCAATCATGAATAGAGCGCGGCATATACGAGCTGCATTTTGTGCAACATAGCCGGTGTCCGACACCAATGCGAAATCTTCAACCTTAGCACGAGAGATATAGGACTGTAGCAGAATATTGGTTTTTGCATGAGGAGAATCATTTCCACCCTCTATTTCTGTCTGAACGGCTTCTTCCCGTAGCCTGTCCAGCTCCTTTGACTCGTTTTCTCTCGATTGGATATTGTCGAATTCACCACTCATGCTGATCATTTTCAGCACGTCTGCTTCTCCTGCTTCGGCACGCATTAATTCGTTGAAAATTTCGATGCTGTTCTGCAGAACGTAGTACTGGCTTGCAATGCGGCCAACATCCTTCGCTCGAAGCTCCTCTGTCCGTTCGTTGAAGATGATCATTTGACTTTTTTGCAATACGAGGGCAGCCTGAATGATCAATTGGCGACGCCTTTGGACCAACATGGGATCGTCACGTATCTCAGCCCATTCAATGCCATAATTCCTAGGCTCACGCTTCATGCGCACAAAGAGGTAAGAATATCCTAGCCACTGCACTGCTTCTGGGACGGAGGTGACCGTGCCAAGAGAAATCTCGGCATTTAGATTGTCTACAAGTCGGCTAGAGAAACGAGACTCAATCGGCTGCTGAGAAGTCACTGCAGAGAGATAGTGGTGCAGCTTATCATGTGTGGTACAAATGAAGCCGATACCCGTGTCTTGGAACTGGGGACGACCAGCACGACCAAAGATCTGAAGGACATCGAGAATGCCAAGGTCGACGAACTTTCCCTCCTGGGGATTGTATAATTGTGTGCCTTTAATAACAACCGCAGCAGCAGGAAGGTTGACACCCCATGCCAGTGTGGCGGTACAGCAAAGAACTTTAATCAGACCTTCAGCGAACATACGTTCCATCAAATTGCGGTCGCTCCGGCTCATTCCAGCATGATGGGTTCCAAAACCACTGGCAAACAGGTCCCGCAATTCACGAGCACGAGCATGTTTCATATCCCTAAGCCCATTTGAGTAATTTTCGTGATCTTGGCAGCTGAAGAGATTCTCACAGCCCTCATCAGCAGCCATTTGTTTCAACATTCGAGCAGTTAAGACAGTATCTTTCCGCGAATGCACGAAGACCATGACCTGATGTCCTCTTTCAAGCATATCGCGCACTTTCTCGTAAGATACAACATCGATGTTTTCTCGAGACTGTTTGGAGCCAGGCTTTCCTTTAACGCCAATGAAGTGTTGCTCAAGAGGAACAGGTCGGAACGAACTGTCAAAGTAGAATAGACCAGCCATCTTATTCACCTTGAGGAAATCGGCGACATCAAGATAGTTGGGCAGAGTGGCAGAAAGACCAACGATACGGATGAGTGATTGCGTACTCTCGACCTGACGTTGCGTACGGGCTACCAAAGATTCGATAACGGCACCACGCTCGTCGTGGAGCATATGAACTTCATCGATGATCAGCAACCGTACTTTCTGTACAAGCTCAGTGTCTCCAGTGCTCTTCCGTGTTACCACGTCCCATTTCTCAGGGGT